CTATTTTGCTGTGTCACTAGTTTTAGGAACAGCATCTGCTAAGAATGCAAAGTCCAGTGTGGGAGAGGCAGTCTCTGCCCCCACATACTACATAAACACATTGATACTCTGTTATACCGATACTGATAGAGACACATACTATATAATTATAACAACAAGTGAAAATATCATTTTGAAGATAACAAGGTGGTCATAGAGGTGCCTGTATGGTTCAAAACTGGCAGGTGATGGCGAATGAAACATTTCTTGCAGATGCACAAGAACAGCCGTAGAAATGCTGTCCACTTAAAAACTGGTGGCAGAAAAGCAGATGTGGAAAAAAATACCTGGTGGGGAAAAACAAATAACACTGAAAAACTTTATTTATCAAAAAAAAAAAAAAAAAAAATTAAAGACTGACCAAATGTTAAAAAGTGTTAACAGATTTATTAAAAAAAAAAATAAAAAAATCAAATAGTTAAAGTAGAGAGGATCGACTTTACTGTTTCAAGTTTTATCTGATACAGCTCTCCCTGTCTCTCCTCAGAACAGCTAGCCATCTGCCAAAGTGTTGCATAAAGCATGAACTCTGCAGCTGGCGTGACAATCCCCAGGGATTGTCTTTAGTTTGACCTCATGCGGTTCTCTCTCTCCGCAGAACAACTAGCCACCTGCCAAAGTGTTGCACAAAGCATGAGCTCTGCAGCTAGTGTGACAATCCCAAAGGCCTGCTTTGAGATTGACCTCACACAAACTGCATGTGTGAACCGAACGATTTCAAAGGGCAAGGCAAGCAACTTGACCCCTTCCCCAACAGGGTCCCCCAAAAATAAGATAAAATCAGCATGGGAACTCTCCTCAGTCTTCTGACGATGGGGAATCTCCCCTGTGCAGTGATGTAAATCTGTTATTGACGGTCTCCAATATTCATTCAAAATATGTGGACAGCCTCCGAATACATTACCACTGGCCTCATATCTGTCACAGAAAACTGTGGAAAATGTAGAAGCCTGGACTGAAAAGTGGGGTCTAAAGCTAAATAATTCAAAAAGCACAGCATCACTTTTCTCTCTCTTCCTTAAAAAAGAAAAAATGAAAATCTTGATAAAAACCAGCTCATTCCACAGACTGACACTCCTACCTTTCTTGGCGTTACACTTGATTCGCGACTAACTCGGAAGTCACATGCAGAAGCAGTAGATGGGAAAGCATTCAAGAAGCTTGCAGTGATGAAAAAATTAGCGGGTACCACATGGGGCGCAAACTTCAGAATCCTAAAACAAGTATATACTGGAGCAGTCAGGCCAGTCTTGGAATATGCCTCCACTGCATGGGCTGCAGCAGCCAAGACAACAATGGGAAAACTGGACAAGGTTCAGAATATAGGATTAAGGATTCTAGAAGCCATGAAAACCACCCCTATCAGAGAGATAGAGAGGATAGCAGATACTGAACCACTCAGAAGACAATACAAAACTCTTTTACAGTATGAGAAATTAAAAAGACTTCAAAGTCACCCACTGCATTTTAAATTTCAAGAGAGAAGAAGAGGAATAATAATAATAATAATAAGAAGAAGAAACCGCATATAAACATTTTAAATAATCAATCGTCGTTCCCAGCATCAATGAATAATAGTAAATATCATGGGAAGCAAATGTGGCCGGCAAGAGAAGATAACATCATCAATACCAATTTATTTTAATTTAAAAAAGGGTTCCAGAATGTATCACTGGCGTGGACAAGGTCCTTTACCTACATGCGTCTAACGACTAGCCATTGACCAGGATAGTAGTTACACAATGCTTTTTTCAGCGTATGTGTTATAAGCATAGCTAACACCCAACAGCCGGGTTCGATCCCAGCTGCAGGCGATTTGGTAGCAGACCACCCCGCGTTGGCTTCGACAGCTGTACCGAAAGGCGACCGTCCAGTGGGAAATAGCAAACTACTGAACGTAAACTTGGCTTAGTGAACACACAAACAGCCAAAATGCTGGGGTTGATTCTGCAACGCACTGCCAAGGATAGACACATACCTTAGCATTTGGAATAGATACGAGATGCCGCTGGATTAGCCTGTCTTATACAGACTTAATGTATTGTTGATAGGTGGCCCAACTAGAACAGCAGTGTACAAGCAAGGGCGCTTTTGCAAAGCCCTATTGTGTAGGCTTCATCTTGCCTGCCACGTTTGCTTCACGTGACATTTACTGTTATTCATTTAGGCATGGAACTAAGGTCGATTATTAAAAATGTGTTGACCTTTGCAAACAGATATGTCCTTATAGCCCTAGATGCAAATGTTACAGAAAATGTCACCCAATGTTTCAAGTTTCTCAGGCTTTCACAAGATTTCAGTATCAAGGAGACGCTGCATATTTTGAAACTGCCTGGAATCACAATGAGCTGGCCTAACCCTCTCCATTTCTAGCGACCTTGATTTTTCTTTTTCTCATTTCTCTGTTGCACACTACTTGAGTATTCTGTGTGTGTATGTGTGATACCTACATAAATATACACATGCATACACCCACGTACACATACACATAAATGCAGTTAAAATGATGTCAAGCACTTCTGTCTGTAGCGGCGTTTGTGGCTTAGGTGTTTGTGAGTCCGACTCGTAATTCCAATGTACCGCGATCAAAACCCACTGATGGAAAATGTAATTTGATCATGGTATGGGGCGTTGCAGGTCGACCCAGCCTAAAATGGGTACTAGGATGTATGTCCTGGGGAAGTAAAAGGTGGCCGGCGTAATGCTGACCACATTACCAACCTAGTACTGATTGGTCTGTAAAATATCGGTGCTTTTCCATATTTAGGCCTGGTGCGCCTAAAGGCATGAAAAAGGATATTTACTTCTCACTCCTGCCTGTAGGGCCTGTGATCCTGAATTCAACCCCTAGCAATGGAGTTTAGATAAATTGAAGTGGGCTTCCAAGCCAACCTAACCTAAAATAGGTACCAGAAAATGTTCTGTGAGATACAGGTAGCTGGCATCATACTGACAGATCATGCATCCAATGCTGACTGGTCTATGCATATTTGGTTTTACTTATTCCACTAAAAATAAGGTAATGGGTAGTTAGCATCCTTTAGATATTCTCTCCAGGTCATGCCAGTACGTTAGGAAATGAGCAGGCAGATAGACTGGCTGCTTCAGCACCACTTGGTGGTGAACTGATGTATGACAAGCTAGATGTTGTCAGGGCCTTCTGGGAGCAAGTGAACAGTGCAGAAGCGCAAACAGATCATTACGGTCTGAGGAGAATGGCGCTGCAAGGAGTTGCCATGGGATCAGGCCGATGCTCAACACTCAAGAGAAAGATAAGACAGATTTACAATCAGTTACTGGTGCTATCAGAATTGGAACTCTTTGCTTGCTGCTGAAGATGGGGATAGAGCGCTAATTCGAGTGTCCCGAGTGCTATGATGCTGATTCTTAATTCAACATTCACTAAAAATAAGAAAGCAAAATAGCAGGTGACAATTTGACTGCATTATCGTCTCTGAAACACTGCCCTGATACAAAACTGAAAGAAATGCAACAAACACAACAAAACAAACTCTTTCTGAGGTGTTAAATATCATTTAGAAGCAAGTCTTTTGCATAATACTGTTCTCTTCTTAATCTGTCAGAAAGATTCTCAGTGCTTTGCTAGTTTTTCTTTTTCATGAAAATTATAACTTACTGTCCTCTAGCCACCCCTGTAATGGCAGACCATCACCAACTGTTTCAGGATCCTTCCACTGATCTTTACTATCAAGTGCCTTGCAGACTTGCCTGGGTGATCAGGCCTTTCAACAACTTGTGATCTCCAACAGCATGTTTATCAGTTTGTGTGCTGACAGATTTACATGCCATGACAAAAGGCTGCCAGGAGTCTTTGTGTGCTGTCTTCCTTGTCATAAATACTCCCAACTGTCACAACATGCTCCAGTTTCTTATCATAATGTAGCCACAAATGATATGTCTTTCTGATATTTGTGATAAGTTGTCTTTAGTCTTCACTTTTTTTTCAACACATCTAGATTCCTCTGTTTGGCTGTCAGAGGAACTGTAAGCATTCTCCTGTAAAACCATATTTCAGAGATCTCAAAAAAAAAAAAAAAAAGCTTGGCTCATTTATTAATTGTCCAGGGTGCATAGCCACATGTTAAAAGTGGTTTGACAAAGCATGTGAGAATTCTTTTGCAAACCTCAAGTGATATAAGTAAGATACACATAAGATTCCATACTGTACAGGGTGTCTCATAAGTTTCCATGCATAGTAAATAAAAACATTTTTTTCAATTAAAACAAATTTTTATTTACATAATGTGCTTCGCGGCTGGCTAAATGGTTAGAACGCTGGGCTCTGAAGCGGGAGACCCAGGTTCGAATCCCCGGTAAGGCTAGGGATTTTTTTTTGTCGGGGGCAAAATAAAATCTTCACCTGCACAGTCGTGGCGACAGCACTAGCCATGTGGCCGTAAATCTTCAGGCTCAAAGACCCCACTGCATACACCGCAAAAGTGGTATAATACAGGCAGTAACTGGCAGTTTTAAGCGGCATCCGTGGCTTAGGCATTGCGAGTCCGACTCATAATTCCAACATACCGCGATCGAAACCCACTGATGGCTGCGTCGACCCAGCCTAAAATGGGTACCTGGATGGCTATCCTGGTGAAGTAAAGACGACAGCCACATTACCCTAATAGTGCCGATGGTCTGTAAAAATATGGGAGCTCTTCCCATATACCCGATACACCTAAAGGCGTGAAAAGGGATCTTTACTAACTTTTTTAAAAATGTGCTTTACATGACTACCACTGTTTTGTACAAATACATTTCAAGGCGTGTTTTCCACTGCTAAAAAAACATAATGAGCATAGCTGAAATTGTGCTTGTAATGGTGATTCGTTTGTTTGTATGTGTCATAAGGAAACTTAGGAGACACCTTGTATAGGCAAAGCATTTCAGATTCTGTATATGCATAATGCTGCAGTGAGAGGTTAACTATAAAACTCAATACCTTAACTATTCCCACCAAGAACAACGGAGTGTTTAGTTGTAGTTGAGGGCACTGTCGTTGGTTTTAGAGTTGTTACTGGCGCCAGTGTTGAAGGCATGGGTTCTGGGTAGCAGCTGACAATCTGGAAAGTAGTCAAGGTCGCTTGTTCCAAGTGACCCATGTAGGTGTAATTTGCTGTCACTCTGGAATTATAAATACATCAGTGCCTTTTTGGTAACATCAGAGTTGGGAGTTGGGAGAAAAATGTTGTGCCTACCTCTTATGTTACAAAGGCTGCTTTCTGTAAGCATATGATGTGAGACTAATATTTGTATCGATCAAATGTCGCTGTGATGTCAACATCATGCTGCCTGTCATTATTTTCTAGGACATTATTTAGCACCCGCTATTGGCTGAGTTAGCACAGGAACCAAGGGCAATGTTGTAAAAAACCCATCTCGTCAGAGATTTGAACCTAAAACCTTCGGGCTAGCACTATGTAACTGCAGCCCAAATACTTATCCCTGGGTGTTTTTAGCCTTTTCGGCTGTTAACTGAAAGGTTGGTGGTTCTTATGTTACAAAGTGTCTTCTAAACATATTGAAGACTATGAGAAGTCCAAAATTTATAAAAGAAAACTTTCAAGACACCTGGGGTTTCCAGGTCAGCCCTATTATAAATTAGTACAAGTAAAGTTATGGGAAGTAAAAGACAGCCAGCATGACACTGACCACTACACCCATCTAGTCCTGACTGATCAATTAACATATGAGGCTAGCAAAATATATACAATGCATCACAAGAGATGGTAGCAGGACCTTAATATACGTAGAATATGTGTACATTTAACCCTTTCACCCCAGGAATGAAAACATCAATTGGCCACAAACCCATGGGGACATCTGACATTTTTTTTTTTTAATTGAGAAAAAAAAAAAACATCACCCCAATATTTTGCATAGGTCACTAGTATTTTTTTTTCAACATTTATTTACATACATTTTAAACAATTTGTCTTGAAATAGGTACAGATTTATTATGGGAGTTACAATAAACATTAACAGAACGAAACGAAACATTACATGGAATACATTCTCTCAGGCATAAGAAAACAAACACAAGTATCGAGTAACTCATGCTGTCACCCTGCGACCTCAATCACTGAGGCTTAAGTGAAAATTGAGAAAGACTTGGTTTAAAAAAAATGCTGTTTTTAGCAAATATATTTCTATCCTGATCTCCTAAATGCTGCATGAGTGCAAAACAACCAATGGCATTAGGTAGTTTTCTCATTAGCGTGACAACGTAAAAATGTTACTTAAAACGGTGCTCTCAGGGAACTGGAACCTACAAGAAGTGCCGAGTTTGTGGTTTCCCAGGATGAAAGGGTTAACAGTTCACATCCCCAAGGTATTATCTCCCATGAGAGTACATGTTTACCTTCCTACAATGATACTGTACAACTGCATACTACAACACATGAAACAACCAAGTACCACAAAAACAAGAAGAGAACCATTTTAATCCCATGCTATAACGGACTGATATGGTCAATATAATTCAAGCAACTTATAGTGCACAGGATATTTTCTGGGATCTATCTTAGGTGGGTCGACCTGGAAGCCCCAGGTCAATTATAAAGATCTGTGTAAATGCAGATTCAAGCCCAAAACCTTCAGGCTAGGAGGCTGGCATCTATCACTGTGGTAATAAAGTCCCACACGATGAAACATCGACACTAATATGCTTAGCCAAGAGAATGTGAAAATGTACACTTATTCTGTAGCATTCCAAGCCGTTGATGAATAAGATACCTTGAAGATCACTGCTGCAGGTACCTCCCCCCCTCCCCACATTCGTTCATCTTTGTCGTCTGCTGACTTTAATTAAGTGTTTGTAGGCTATCAGTGTATTATCTCTCAACCATCTTCTTGGTCTCATGGTTTGCTCTCATTTAATTCATCATGTATGCAGTTTTTTTTGGGGGGTAGGGGTTTCTCAGTTACCTGCCATTCTCTCTACAGCCCTCTAATAAAAAATCTTTAAAAAAAATGCCTACTTACTCAAATAAAATAGGCAGGTTGTGAATCCACGACCAGCTGCTCACACAATGAGACCTAAAGAAAAAACAAAACCCATCAGATATGTGTGGCCAAGTGAAAAACCATGTAAACAATCACTTTCAATACAGACTCTTGAAAGCTCAAAAACATATTCTTATGACATGTATTGTTCAATAAAAGTACTAATTTATTCATTAACTCAAGTAGTCTTGAGACTAAGCTATGACCTGGGATTTTCTCATGGCAACTTGATATGCCCACAGGAGATCTGACTTTCCCCCTCACCACTGACATCAGTGTTCAATGGTTAACTGTGCCAGACCTTTACTGATTCATCAGACTTCTTTTATATCCAATCTGCCTCGTGTACCTGAATGTGCCAATCTTTACTCCTAAACCCTGCATTCTTAGCAGCAATGGGAACGTGCTGCCTCTAGAATTCCCCCATCTTCCTCTCTCTCTCTCCAAGGGCATTGATCTGTCCCCCCCCCCCCCCCCCCCCCCCCCACATCATTTATGTCGGTGTTCAATGGTTACTAGTGATAAGATACTAGTGATTGATAAGACTCCTTTTATATCCAATCTGCCTGGATGTGCCAATCTTTACTCCTAAACCTCGCATTATTAGCAGCAATGGGAACTTGCTGCCTCTAGAATCCTTCCATCTTCCTCTCTCTCTCTCCAAGGGCATTACCTCAATAAATATAACTCACCTGATAATGTTCCTACGTTGTTACCCATTTGCAGAAACTCTCTTCAGTGCAACATTAGTCTGTTTTTCAACGTCCATGCATTTCTTGTGATAAAGTTGTTTCCTAAGACATTCTCTTTCTCTCTTGCCATCATTGTTCTAGCTCCTTTCACTGTGAGGCTTTCTACCAACATCACTGACTGAGTGATTCATTTTCAAACTTATGACATAATAATCAAATATTTCTTTAAAACACTACTTCATATAAGATTAATGAATGTAACACTGGAAGAAAAAAATTAGCTTTACATTTGGTTTATATTTAATGGGTCTCGGTGGCTAAGTGTTTTGTCTTGGGGATCCCTGGTGAGCATCGCTGCAGCTACAGAGTTCATGCTTTGGGTGGCAGGAAGCAGGCAGTTCTGCAGAGAACTCAACTCTCTCAACTTTATTAAACTTTTTTCCAGATTTCTATTAAGTTATGTTATGAACTAAAACAACTCACATCTTGCTCTATAAGCTAGATTTTGTTTTTGTTATTTTGTTTATAATACTGTCATTAAAAAGATAATATTTCTATAAACAAAGCCAAACAACATTGGATAAAAATGAAACTTCCAATATTAAAAGTTTGTCATTCGAAGAACTACAAGGGGTGATCAGAGAGTATGACCCACATTATTTTCCTCAGCTAACGACAAAGAAAATAATACAAAATTTTGCAAGCTTCAAATTTCAAAACTGTATGTACAGAATGGTAACTCATTCTAACAGAAAGAATGGCTTCATCTAAAAAAGAAGGCGAGGACAATTTTAGTTACAAATAGTGAACCAAAGCAGATTTTATAGTGGAAAAATCAATTGTGCTAAACATTCATAAACATTTAACTGCTGTTGATGGAAGTGGTGCAGTCATTAGGAGCACCACTGGTCACTGGGTTAGGAAAATTTAGGCGTCAGAAAATGGAGAAATGGACCTGATATTATTCATGCTGTAAAGAAATGACTACGGGATCAGGTCAAAACTCATAAGGCAAAGTATAAATGTCTATTTTGCATTGGTGTGACGCCCTAGTAGTAGACACCGACAATATATAAAAATTAGAACATGTAAAGAACATAAGGAGTTAAACTGTGAGTGAATTACATACATTTTGCACAAATAAAAAAATTAGTAGCATTACTTTCTGAACACCCCTCATTTATCGCATCTGTTTGCAAGAATACTGCGTTACAGAGTTATGCTGTACACGAGACTTACGAAGAATAAGAGACAGTGAATGGATATAACAACAACACATAACCATGGAAGATCCAATCAATACTTACACTAAGCTGCCGTGCTCCCCTTTGAGTTCAAAATTCATTGGAACAAACAGTTCCCGTTCAGAACGAGCAGGAATTTCCAGTGGGTTTGTCTTGTATGCCCAGGACTGTGCAATAACAGCATTTCCATAAAGTGATTTCATCAAGACACCAGTGATCTTCACTGGGAAGAAATTACTGTTTGACACGTTGTATAGGTTCTGTGGGAGAAAGGTGAAATGTTTAAAGAACGCACAAGTAGCCCCAGGAATTTATTATACATGTGTGCACATGTGTCTTTGATACTGATAAATTAATATTACTATTACCATGGCTGGTTTGGGACGGTGGCACGTAGGGATATCATCAGTGGAACTGATCCAGAGGACAAGAGACGGAGACATGTGCAGCTGCAGGAACGCCTACGCCAGTTGGCAGCGCATGGGATGATGATGATTACCCAAGCATGTCCGAGTGGATACTAGGGCCCCATTGGGGTGGTGAGACCAGACCTACTGCCACCTAACTCTTTCAGTCACAGATGATTTTACAGCAGATATTTTAAGGGAACAACAGCCACAATGAATACAATTCTGGTGCATTACTTACACTGAAGCAGCAAATATACACTTTTTAAAAAAAAAAAACACATTCTCATACATGTAAAAAATAAAATAGCAAGTTTCTAAAGTATGCATGGATGACATCAAGCGCTGCCTGTAATTATGGACAACAGCAGATCACAAATGGTGCGTTGTTTGGGACTGAAAGTTAACAAGCATGTTGTAAAAGGTGAGCAATTAAAGGTTTGCTGAAATTAGATGTGGTGGACCAACAAGCACAAACATCACAGTCTAACTTTTTGGAAAAAAGTCATTTTATGACAATATTAAAAATAAAACAGTACTATGAGGGGTGTTCAGAAAGTAATGCAATACATCGTTTTTCTCCGGAGCTGTTTTTTCTACTTCTTTGTGTTAGGTTTTGTATGCTCAGGTCAGATCGTCAGGCAGGTAGCATCTATGAATTTGCATGTCAGTGGAAGATCCTTTGTGGTTCCCCATGGCTTGCTCTGCACACTTTGCTCTTCATAGTGGTAAGTATAGTTAGTGGACAGGCCTGCAGAATGTGCTTAGGTGTTGGTGGTTCCATCTGAGATGCACACTGAGCCTGCAGTATCCTGTTCTTAGACATAATATTGTTGTATATTGCTTTCTGTTGAGTCTGTTGATGGGGTCCTGTGGAAGTTTACCACTGGTCTGTTTTTATTCCCCTGAGTTCTATCTTTCAGACATTGTCAACGGCTTTGGTCAGGTTGAAGAAAGTAGCTAGCAGTTTGTATTTTTGTCTGGAAAGCATAATCGATTTCTTGAGTGAGATGAAGAGGTTTAGTCATCAGCGCTTTTGTATTTTCTGAATCATGATTAGATAAAAAACCGAAGGAAAAGTATATCAGTGAGCTTCACAATATAACGAACACAAACAAAATGTGAACACTGGCTATGGGGCCTTTATCAGCATACACATAAATAAAACAATACCACACAAATACACAAAATCACTTAGCTTACTATGAAACTGTGTAACCTGTTGTTCACTAGCTTTTCCAAGGCAGCTTATGAAGTTTATGGGGCGACAGCTTCAATTGTTTTCCTAGGCTTCACTTTCTTTGCTATGGGGACTATTTCTGCCTCCTTCTATTGTTTTGGAAATAGGCCTTGGGCCCAGGATTGGTTAGCAAGGTCTAGGAGTCACTGTCGACTAGCTGGTGCCAAATGAATTATTCCTTCATTTGATATCTGGTCAGGCCCTGGTTGGTGCCTTCCTTTTCTTCAGTTTCTTAATGCACACTTAAGATACATAATTTTTAGTAACAGATAACAGAACTATATTATTTTTAGTACGAGATAACAGTACAACATTACTGTTAATCTAGATAACAGTACTGCATTGTCAATAGAAGAAAACTGTTCTACATTACTGCCAAAACCACATAAAGGTACAACATTTCTATTAATACAAGATAATAGTACTCACAGTGACATTGAAGTTGGCGTACTTGGCCGTTACATTAATATCAATGGACCTTGGCTGAAGAAAGGGGCGGTTGCTGGATATTGTGATGTCCCGAGGCATCAAGAAAAAGATCAGAAGCCCACCAATCAGCACACACAGAGTCACAGCAATTATCACATACAGAACCCTGTTTGATGACAAATATTTGTTTGTGGTACTGGTGCCATACAAAACCATCTTTTCTGGATATTCTGAAAACACCAACAATCAAACTGCGAATAGGAATTGCCCATACAAGCATCTAGCCAGTCACGAGGGATTATTCGCATGATCATGAATACAGACCAAAAAGGACATTCTCTTCTACTTCTTCAATCCTTTTATCAGAAAATTTATAGCAGGAGGCCAGTAGCCTCAAACAAAGCTATCGTGCAGTCCATTCCTCTCTGTATACCATACAGCATTGTCTTTACTGATGTTGGAACAGGCCAGATTTGCTTCTCTATTAGCAGCATACTGTTTATAGTGTTGCAAAGGACATTCTTCTTCTTCTTCTGTGTTCAACCTAAAGATGTAAATGTGGTGTGCCCTTTACAATATGGCTGCGATATGTTCATCTTTCGGCCTACATGTCCAACTTTCTGCAGGTATCTGGTGCCTGGGTTAGCTTTCTCTTTGTAAAGGACATTTGAAAAGTGCCACTGTGTATTTAAGAAAATTAGTAAATTTATTGACGAAAAACTTTAGGAAAACAAGACTTTAACAGCAATGTAGACAAAACAGCTTACGTTCTTCTTGGCTTCAGCCGACCATCCTTCATAGGTATCAGTGCCACAAGCTGGTTTTCCAGTTCTGTAAGAAGACATGGTTTAAAGTACAGGCACATGGATATGATGACAATTTACTATAACATTTATAAAACACTCATTAATAAATGAATGAATAACAAATTAATGTAACTGCACTCGGGAGATTTCCACATGTGCTGTCTGTCTCCTTCCCTGGTAGCGAACAAAGAATTCCAATGCTGTTTTAGTTGCAACCTGATTAAAAGACTGCTTATATTTTCCCTTTAAATCTGAATACCGTCCAGAACCTCGTCTACCCCCCCCCCCCCTCCCCTTTTTCCACAATTAGTCTATGGAGGACTATAGTGTCTATTCTGTCGCACTCTCCACTTGATCCCAGAGAGCCTTTACCCAACTGGCTTTATCATAATATAGCTCACCACCCAGAGCAAAGACAGCAGCCAATCTATCAGTATGCACATTACCCTGCATACTTGAATATCCTGGACAGAAAATCTATGATACGTTCCTGATCTCAGACTTATCAAGCACTGCAAGCCACTCTGCACATACAATGCCAATTTCTATTTTCAAAAGTATGCTCTGTGAGTCAGTTACATGTACATGTCGGGCTGCACTGCTTTCAAGCCGGCGGAAAGCAGTCATTATTGCCTTCATAACTTCACCAACTATTAAAACAACAACAAATATTATGTCAGATGTTGGCTACTCCAAAGAACCCTGAGATGAACATCAGTGAGAGAAGCCAAAGGGGCTGGACTGGATTCTATTCATGAGGCACAGGACAGAATGGAGTAGAGGTTAGACTGTGACCTTTCTGTAGCATGTAAGAGCATAATAGGAAGATGATGATGATGATCTGTCATTTATCAAGCCTACAAGTCAAACATCTTATACATCCACAATTCAATTAACTAGATCAACCTCAGAGCTTTGCTAAATGCCCAAAATATCCCTCATTAATTTAGGGTTAAACCTAGAGACTGTTGCAGTGACAATCTAGGCCATTAACCCCTATGCCATCATGGTTCCACATGGACTATTTCCTACTTTAAGAACATTTTCACACCGAGAGTTCTTCCAATACTGTTTATGTGTAATTAAAAGAAAAAAATACATCCCCAGATTAGTTCGGAATTTACATAACATGCTGCTGATTAAAAAAGGATGAATAGATCAACAACTAAAAGAAAACTTGTTTTTAAAATGAATGAGATCTGAACCATAATATCGATAATTACCGCACTGACATTTCCCCTTGATCTCTCAATATAATCTCCACCATCATTCACAGACTTGGCTATTTATTGTATCACTGCTGTGAAATATGCAGCATATTTGTATGCACTCTGATGTCTCAGTAATTTACACTTCAAACTCAACCGGTGTCCTCAATGTCTATAATATGATAGTCACATGGACTGGAGTTGGTGGAAGCTACTGTTTTTATGGGAGCCACCGTGATGTAGCAGCTAAGGTCATAGGATGGTTCAGGACTTGATGAAGCCGGCTTTAAAAAAAAAATTACATTGGCTACCAGGTCGACCCAGCCTTAAATGTGTACCAGGTAATAAAGTCCTGGGAAGTAAAGATGGCCGGCGTGATTGTTGACCATACTGCCCATCGATTGCCGATTGGTCTATAAAATATAGGTCTATCCCTACATACCTGAAGGTGTAAAAAAGGATCTTTTACTTACCTTTACTGTTTTAATACCATATTACAGAAAATAGAGAAAAACACAGTTACCCCAAACTTTCTTCTGCATGATAATCAAAACTTAACTAATTCTGATTGTGTGCCGCCTCCAAATTGAAGGTTGGCTGCAGATTACCACTGCTGTCTTTGGGAATATTACACTGTGAGGCCTCAATATTTTCCACGGTGCAACTCTCATAACAGTCCAAAAACCACAAGTTTTTTTTTTTCCAAAGGTAAACCATTCGCTGTGAAAGTTAAACCCATGGATCATGAAATCGTTAAACACAATAAGTAAACTGTAAGCCAGAGCTACAGGAAACCTAACTACTCCTTTACAAATGAAATGAAGCTATTTTGTGATGGTATTTATTCCAGCTGATTTCACTGACCTTTAGGTACACGGCCTAAACCCCTGCATGAAGGACAGGGTACGCTGTCTTTAAACAGTTCTTCGTAACTGTCATTTACTGCTGAATTTGAGGCACTACTGCTGGAACCATTCTGTGAAGCTGTACCATTTCTATTAGATTTTAGCAGACGTGTCTTTTCACTGGCCGAAGCAACCATATCTTTTAACTGAAATAAAAATATAATGATACATTATATTAGGTTGGTTCATAATTGTCTAGAAATCTGAGTATTAATTCTTAAGTGATGGACTGACATCTAAGGGTTAGGTCAGTGTATCCTCCTTCCTCTCAACAATTTATCAATGTACCATCTTCTTGTTCAGCATTCCGAGCCCTCGAGGTTCATTGCTGCAGATATCACCCGCCTCCATTCATCTCTCTGGTTGGCCTTCAATTTTCAGTTGGTGAAACCAAGTGTTTGAAGGTCTGATTGGATATTATCTCTCCCTTGTTTTCTTGGTCTGCCTTGTGGTCTATGACCACCTATCTCCCTAGTGTATACATCTCCACAGGAAATGTTGCAGAGCTCTTCTTTCCCTTTCCAAGCCTAGAAATGGTGTGCAAGGTAGGTACTTTCATGCAAGCATATTTGGGTGAAGCAGATATGGCTCTGCATAACACATATTGGCTGAGATAAGGATATTACCCAGGTAATGATTCAGCTTGCCATATACAGTCTGGACTGAGATTATAACATAAACCAGACAATGAGCTGGCACAGTAAATACAGACTAGTTGACATAAAACATACAGTATGGCTGAGATTACAGAGTAACCAGGCAATGATACAGCATAGCACATACAGTATGGCCGAGCTTATAGAGTAATCAGGCAATGATACATACCCTATGCTGAGATTATACAGTAACCAGGCAATGATACAGCATAGCACATACAGTATGGCTGAGATTATACAGTAACCAGGCAATGATACAGCATGGCATTTTTCATAACCTGTGGTATCCCCGATGATTGCAAGAGTGGTAATTCGGACACCTGAATCTGGAAAATTACCTGGTATACAGACACTACTCTCCAAACTAGGTAACCAATGTAAGGTAACAATGCATTGGATACCATTCTACTGTGGAGTTCCTGGAAAAGAGCGCTGATAGATTAGCTAAGAAAGGTGCAAATGAAGAACAACCTGAAATACCAGTCTCTTAACAACAGAAAAAGAAAATAATCAAATTAATAAGGAAGCCACCAGAACCGGCACAAGACGATTACTATACTATGGACAGACCAGAGCAAGTCATTTTTCCATGCCTGAGAACAGGACACAATCAACTGCTCAGCCACAAGTACACAGTATTTAAGATTGGTGAATCAACCATGTGTGCATTGTCACCTGAGACATCAGATCATATCCCCCAAGACTGTCCCAAATACAACACATCAAGGCAAAACTTCTGGCCAAGAGAAACACCAGTGCAAGCCAAAATTTACAGGACACTGAGTGAATTACAAAAGACAGTGAAGTTCACAGTAGAAACTTTAAAAGACAAAGATAGCTGAAATTGTAGAGTAACCAGCATAATATATTTTGGTTCAGATGATAGAGTAACCAGGAATTGATATAGCATAGCACACACAGTCTTATTAAGATCAGGGTGACACTAGACAAGCATTCAGCATAGCATACTGAGGCTGGTATAATGAGCTATCATAATTTATATTAATGTACACTGGAGATTTACAGTGACTAGTTGAAATCTGGGTGGAGCCAGGCAACAATTCAGCAAAGCACATTCACAGAATGGCTGAGTTTAGGTCTAGGCTTTAGACAGTATGCTGTCAACAGGCCTGAACTCAACATCAAGGGCGAGGACAGATACTGATATATTGATACCAGTGAATGCATTATACTAAATACCATAAAAAAACTGCATGAAACTGTGAGCCAGCTACAAATGCAAATAACATATGATGCATAAAAACAACAAACAGGTCTGCCCACTCGCTGCATATCTTTATCATATGTCACGCCAGGCAGCACAGGTAAATATGTTTCACCACAACCATCTGTTTCAAGAGGTCTTGATGAGTTAGACTATTGGGCTCTGTGCTACTCTGTCAACCCACGTACACATTTTCTCTCTGTGTGTAACATCCTCAATATTCTGTCAGTTACCTTTGTGTACTTTAGACACTTTTTCTTTTTTAATGTGACTACTGTCTTATACTGATGTGTGCAACCATCTGTCTTTGTGAATGTTTCTCTTGTAGTTCTTGTTCTGAATGGATAAGAATGCCAGGCTTTCGTGTGGAAAACCCAGGTTTAAATTCTCAGTAAAGTTAAGTGGTTTTTCAGGCTAGGAGCAAAAATAAAATCCTAACCTGCAGTGCGTGGTGACTGCTCCATGTATGTGGCCCTAATCAGGCTCAATGACCCCACCCCCTCCTTCCTACACCGCAAAGTGGTAAATGGAGTTAGTAATGGCATTTGTATGTGTCTGGTGTGGTGTTTATATGTGTGTGTGTCTGGGGAAAGGGGGGGTGGGGGAGGTTGAATAATTATACGAAAAATAGTAAAATACTATACAATTTAAAAGTTAGTTGCGTATCCTTTACAGGACTTTGCAGAACGAAACCCAGCATTTTTTTGCTGTTGTGGTTTTTAGGCAAATTTACATCCAGTAGTTTGCCATTACTTTCTGGGCGGTCAACTTCTCAGTACCACTGTCAAAACCAACACAAGGCCCGCAGCTGGGATCGAACCCGGCACTATGAAGCTCGTTTGCAGCGCCTAAGCCACAGACGCTGTTGCTATACAGTACCTGCACTAATATATGCAGGTGAAACATATAAAATAAGCAGACAAGCTGGAATAACTATAAATAATGGCAGTAAAAATTTGGTGCCTGAGAAAAATGCAAAGAATAGCATGGAATGACAGAAAAACATCTGGGGCAGTGCTCCTGCAAAGAAATCAAAACTATAAACTGATGACATTAGATGTAGAGAGTCAATATCTGAACACATCATGACAAAAAATAGCTTGAGGACTACTTGAAACTGGCAAGAATGCTGGGAAAAAGGCAAGGGCAAAGAAAAAAGACCATGATTCAGGTGATAGTGTGGGATGACGAATCATTACCGCCAGCGCTTTTAGGCTGCATTCTCTCTGCATCATTTTCAACATATATGCTAAAAATATTAAGAGAAATGCAGTTAGTGAGGAGACCTGTGATAGCTTCGACCTACTCAAAACTGGAGGCAAACATATCCCAGAATTCAGATGTGCAGACAATACAGTCTCTCTTTCCAACAGTTTACATGGCTTAGAATAATTAATTGTTTTTAATTAAGTCTTTTTCTGAACAAGAAACAAATTGTTCACAATGAATACCGCACACTAACCATGCATTAAAATTGATAATGAAGAACAACCAAATGTGACAGATTGTTTTCAATATTTAGGCTCAACAGAACAGCAACGGTGCTTGCACAAAAGAAGCCAGGAAAAAAAAACTGATTTCCTTTAACAATGCAGACACTAAACGGCATAAAGAACCAATGGCGCAGAAACTGCAAGCAAGTTAAAGTAACAATTCTGAGATCATGCATCATTCCTGTGGCAACTTTTGGCCTTGAATCATGGACTCTTACTATTGCGTTAAAGAAAAATTCTTAGAATACCGTGGACCAAGAAGAAGAGCATCATCATCATCCTACATCAGGGCTATTCAACTAAGTTTACTCAGGGGCTGAACTGTTGAAAACTGGGATCTTCACGGGCCAGAGGTCTAAGCCCAGAATAAAAAAATTAAAATAACAACTGGCAATGATCCACAGACCACCTGCTAGCTTCCACTGGCCAGATCTGGCCCGCGGGCTGCCCTGTCCTATATGTTGTAAACAATGAGAAGAGCTGGCACACAAACAGAAGCCTGTCCTGAAAGATGAAATATTTTGACCATGCTTAGCTCCATGATACCTGTAGAGAACAACGATGAAGGGTGCAGTTTCTGGAAAATGAGACAGAGGTCAGCCTCCGCAAAGGGTGGATACAAGACAATGAAGATGCTCTGGCTATGAAAGCACATAGGAGTGGCACAATGGCTAGAGGAAGAGAGATATTCTGGCGTGCCATGAGGAGAGAGAAACGATCTGAAAGAGACTTGGTGATTGATGATGAGTATAGGAATACAGGTCTTCTTAGCATTCTACGACAAAGAAATCGTATCTGTGGCCTTTTTTATTTTCTCATTTTTGATACTTAGTTTCCATGACTCTAAGGCAATATGCTTGGGTGAATATGTTAACCCACAACCTCAAAACTAAAACTATTTATAAAGTTATCCCCTATGTATGTCATGGGGCCCAATTGTGTGTGTGGCGGGAAGAAGGGTGGTTGGGGTGCACAGACCCACTGCCCCTCAAAAAGCAATTAATAAAAAATGAATAATTAAGGGCTTGCTGAAATTACATATGCTGAGCTAAAAGACACATTTATTGCAACCTAGCTGTAAACCACAACACACCATGCCAACCACCCCTTCAAGACAAATCTGTTTACACATTTCTTTGCCAAGCAGCAAAACCTTTCTACACATTAGATGTGCCCGTGAATCCTACAAGACTGCAACAAAATTATGGTTATCCTGACCTCATGACACAGCCAATGAATGATAAAGATTTTTATGTCCACGACTAGCTTATTTTGTACTTTGGCCTCTTTCAGAATGTCTTTCTTACCCATTTTAACTGTCTGTAATATGCTGAACATTATTCCGTAAAACTACATTTCTTATAAACAATTGATTTGAGTGTTAGTGGCACTAATAAGGAAAGCAAACACAGTAACATTGCCCCCTATCAAACATGTAATAAAAGATATAGGAACTGTAAGCTGGTTACTTCAGCCTGCAGAAAAATAAGCTTACCAACTACGACAGAGATATAAAATATTTATACTAAAAAAAAAGCAAGAGAAGTTTTTTTAATGCTATGAAATCTGTGGAAGAGTAGAGAAATTAAATTAAATATAGCCCCAAATTCAGAATATTGACTCTAATGTCAAATCAGTACTGCAGTAATGAGAACAAACAAACAATCTTTATTTCCTAAGAGTTACAAATTGGGCAGCCACTGTTAAAAGAGGTTTACTGGTGCCAAGCAACAGGATAGTCCAGAAAAAAAAAAAGCAACTCAATTGTAACAAATTAAAAAAAAAGGAAAAAAAGGTAAAGGACCCTTTTCCACGCCTTTAGGCGCATAGGGCATATAGGGCTAGACTTATATTTTATAGACCGATCGGCACAAGATGGGTGATGTTGTCAGCATCACGCTGGCCGTCTTTACTTCCCGGGACTGCACCCGGTACCCACTCAAGGGTGGGTCGACCTGGCAGCCAAGGTCATTTTTTTTTAAGTCCGGCTCCTCCAGGGAGCGAACCCACGACCTTCTAATCCACAGCGCACGTCTAACCGCTCTGCAACGGCGATTCCCGGTAACAAATAGCATGACAGGAATCTGAAGAAATGTTTAAATAATCAACACATGAATTAGACAACAAGTGTGCTCTCAAGAAACACAGATAACAAAGTCATCTAGCTTCAAAATAAGTGTTTTGTTTGACACATTTCTGAGTCCCATTGAAACACATTTATCACAAATTAAGAGCTCTTCACTATTTTTTGTGCATGACTCCATTCTGGGCCTACTTTGTCCTTTGCTACCAACTGAAAAGACATGTGGTGTCTGAGGAAAACTGCCAGCCTGACCATCTGTGATCAAATGAGAAACAAAACAATCCAACAGACTGTGTGATACCTTGCACCAAACGCATTACAAAGCAGAGTATCAAAAGGCTTTGTCATCTCAGTAAAATGCAGCCACAACAATGTCAACATTAGCACCACATCTAAAAAGATCTGATTTCCGATCAAGACGGTGCCCAGAGAGAACACGGATTGATGACATTAAAAACATTTTATCATGAAAAGATATTAAACGAAGCAAAAATTAGAACCAGTCAGCTTTAATCTGTCACAATCACAGATGAATGTTGCAGTCAGAAGGCCTTCATCAGCACATGATATGAAAAGACTACATTTAAAACAAGAATATTAACAACAAACACCACATAAGTGTGACCTCTTAAAGAACAAATCTATATGTGTGTCTGGCCGGCTTAAACTCTGAGACAAATGTTGATACAGGAAATGAATACTAGCCAGACAAAAACATGGAAGCAAGGGCCATAACTAAAAACAAAATTTCTCTAACTTCCGAATTACGGTCTCAAATTATCGAGGCCGAAAATATATTCTAAAAGGGCCTCAGTCGCATGTAAATTGAGGACTTTCCGCGACTTAAATTGCGCACTTCCAGCGATTACTGCCACCGGCGAGAGTACCTCCCGTGCCCCTATGGGCGGCGTGAATTGGGGCTAAACTAGATGGCTGGGACTCACGAGCAGCAACTACCGCATCTCCTGCAGCTTCCTTCATTTTATTTGCTCGAGAGTCCCAGTCATCTAGTTAGTCCCACTCCAAGCCACGCATAGTGGCGTGGAAGAAACTCTCGGCAGTGGCGGAAGATCGCAATTTACATGTGACTGAGGCCCTGTTAGGGTATATTTTCGGCCTCGATAATTTAGGACCGTTATTTGGAAGATAGCCTAAAGTTTTGTTTTACACAAAGCCGTGTTCTTAAGAAACTTATAGACTCTGTCACTGGAGTGTCCCGACTTGATGTCCACAAGGTCCATGTTGAAGACACCATAAAAAAAAATATACATCCACATAGAATGACAATGGCCAGCACCACCCATCGAGCACCTGACCATAAACTGTTCCTCCTTAAGTAGCTTAATGACAAAAATGGAAGATGATGATATTATGTAAATAGTATGTACAAGCTTTAAAGTTTCTTATATACAACATCTTTCTTGACTGTGTTGTAAGACATAGGAAGAAAGATTGATACACAAAATTAAGGAAATTTCAGGTATCCTCGAAAAACGGTCCCAAATTATCAAGGCTAAAAAAAAAACCTAACAGGGCCTCAGTCATATGTAAATTGTTGACCTCTTTCCGCATACCGCGGAAAAGCTTCCGCCGAGTTAGTTTCCCACCTTGCCACTACGCGCGGCACTAAACTAGATTGCTGGGACTCACGAACAGCAGCTACCGCATATCCTGTAGCTTCCTCCAATTTATTTGCTCATGAGTCCCAGCCATCTAGTTTAGCCCGCCTCTGCACCGCACGTAGCAGCGCGGGGGATACTCTCGGCGGTGGTATAGTCGCGGGACAAAAGTCCGCAATTTACATATGACTGAGGCCCTGTTAGGGTATATTTCCGGCCTCAATAATTTGGGGCGGTTATTCGGAGGATAGTTAAAATTTCTTACTGCATCTTTCTGCATTTGGATTGCAGAATTGCCAGAGGGATGTTGCTAAATACTTTGTTTGGTTTAAAATTAAAAAGAGAAGGGCAAAAAAAAAAGTTGGGAATCCAAACTCTTGATCATTTGCCAGTTCTGAATCCTGCATTTTCATGTCTAGGGTGTCCATTTTGCAGCGTGATTAAAGAAACACCTCAGTATTCAAATCAATGCTGAATATCTTTCAAAACCCTACCACACCCCCCACTGACTAAGTCTTTCGCTGCATGGATTTCCTATGTGTTCTTTTGCATTGTCCATTTGATCCCATAGAGCCAAATCCTATTGTCATATAGTAGCTCACCATCAAGAGCAGCTAATCCATCCAACTGCTTATTACCTCACACACCTGAAATTTATGGACAGAAAATCCACTGATATGCTCTTGATCTGAGTCTTATCAAGTGATGCAAGCCACCCTGTGCTCAGGACACCAGTTTCAGTTTTCTGAAGCTGTAACAATCACACATATTAGTCTGTGGTGTTCTGAAGCCAACTGCTGCCAATAATGCCTCCACCTCCATTCTCATACTGGATGTAATGACATTGTTACTGTTGTATATGAGGCTCTCTTTTCAAGTAGTGTCCATTCTCATTCACCTTTGCGACAAAACCCCACCTTTAATTAATTACATCATTTTAATATATAATAATAATAATACAGATTAGAAAAGAAATGAAGAGGAAATTACTTCTTATACCTATGTGGAACAAAACTAAACCATATATAAACTTACATATTGGAAGCTCCTTCTAAATTGTGCCATGCTGTAGTCAACAATCTATTCCATGTGTCAGCGACTGCCACTTGCCGCTGAGTCAAAAACCCTGTCCTCAATCAACAGCACAATAACAGCAGCAACGCAATAATTTTAATGCCGTCCACAGAATACTGAAAAAAAATATCACAGTGAAATACACGATAATCCTCCCACTCCGCTGCTAGTAAGAATATTTACACATTACTAATGGTTCATACAGCTCACAAATATACTATTTACTTCAGCAAACACACACCATCTGTGTTATACATCAAGGTTTATAATTATGATCGCCAGGTCCCTAACTACACACCATACATAACATTACATACAAAACAAGCTGGCGCTCTCACTTTTCTGTGTAAGGCTAAGGCCATCACGTGCCAGTTTTGTTTAACTTTATGGCATAAGTGGAGAACTGCTGTGCTACATAGGAAGGCCTGCCGTCATAATAATAACTCGTATGGCCTAGTTGTTAGCTGCAATCGATGTCGACTGTTTCCCGTGGAAGGTTCTCCGTGGCGGTTCTAGGAAACTACAAGCAGAGCAAAGATAAGGAAATGGTGGTCTCTATGGCAGTTTCTGCGGTCCTGATGTTGTGTGCTCCAGTGGCGGACACACAGTCCAAAGACCAGTTGACATTTCAATCCAAATTCTAAACACGGAGTTGAAAGATAATGGACAAAAGATGAAGACCGCTTCTGCTTAAGTATTTAAATCCCCACCAAAATGGACTTTTCAAACTAACCTGAGCTTCTAGGTAGTGTCAATCTAAATCGAAATCCATCGATAAAAAGTTAATGTTTCCATGTTTCGTAAGTTAGCACATTCCATACAAGCGAAATCACAAAATGATTTTAAAGTCCCCTTTTCACCTGTGATTTTAAACCTAGGAGTCCCCCCCCCCCCCCCCCCCCACTCGGTAGTGTATGTAGGTGTGTGTTTGTGTGTGCATATATAATACACACACACACACACACGCACACACACACACATATATATATATATATATATATATATATATATATATATATATATATATATATATATATATATAATAAAAACACATATTTTTGTCATTGTGTCAACCCTCTCCCTTTTCAACCCAGTGATGACTTTGGCCTTCACCCGCTTCATACGCCACTGTCTACACGAACAAAGTAAAACTGTCAATATTTTAGAGAAGACAGTCAGCAGCTGTTAGCAAACAACCATGTACGATATATGTGCCACAGCCAGTGTCGGTTAGTTCTTCATCAAACTTAGATTGCAACCTTTGCTACACAGGATTTCCCCCACTCCTGTTAACACAGCCACAATTCTTGTTAGTATTGTAGGCACAAAGTCATACAATCATTTGCAAACCATATATTTTATAACATTTTCTAACAAAGAATATTCATAAGTTTCGCTTGGAATGAGGTGAATCCATTTGATGCCGCTTTTGGGTAGAGAGAAAAAATATAACACAGGAAACAGATTTTCGTGTTTTAAAAATTTTGTTTTGTTTTGTTTTGTTTTGTTTTGTTTTTTGTTTTGGTAAAAAGCAAACGCGTACCAAATATGTGAGAAGAAATCGCCCATTTTTGGGGTGCTTCTTATATGCTACTAGTAGTAGGGTGTCTTGAGCTGAAAACAAGACACCCCACTGAAATTTTGACCTGAAGACGGGACATCACAAGCAAGTCGCTTCAACCCCCAACCCCCTCCCCTTTCCCATCCCTTCATTTATCTCTAGATCACCGGGGTAAACGGGTTAATAATCACTTGCTCGACAATAGCATTATCACCCCAGCCAATATCGCCAAGAAATAAATGAGACTATTTTTTTTTTTTAAACTAAAGTTAAAAATAAAACATGCTACAATGACAATTCTCGTCAACACATTTCGGGCTTCAGGCATTAAGAACCTCACCCATCGAGCACCTCTCATAACAAGTAATTCGCATAAACAAAATGTAAAAGAATGACTTGCTTAACGAGAGACGTTTTGCACAACGAGTGGCGAGAAGAGGGGAAGTCCCGGATTGTGCGCATGTTACATCAGTCGGTGTTTAGCATTCGTTCTTGTAGCCTCGTAGTGTCGCTTGTGATCACACATTTTCTCAAACTTGTGTTATATTATGATATATGTACACGAATCCTCCAGGCCTATAAGATGACCTCCCTGAAGAATTCAAGTTCATCAAGATGGAGTTCCTGCCTCCCAACACCACTCCGTTACTCCAGCCCATGGACCAGTTATTTCTTACTTTAAGCAGGTCTACACTAAAGCACTCTTCGAGCATTGTTTTCATATGACTAAGAGACCAACATCACTCTCGAAGAGTTTTGGAAAAATCACTTCCACATCGTTGCCTGCCTCAAGATGATCGACGAAGCAGGGGAAGGGGTTACCAAGAGAACCCTAACTTCTGCTTGGAAGAAGCTTTGGCCGGAGAGCGTTGTCGAATGTGACTTTGAGGGTTTCGAGACAGTACCTGTGGAACCTGTAGTCAACGAGATTGTGTCTTTGGCCACTACCATGGGATTGAAGGTGGAAAACAGTGATATCGAAGAGCTTGTGGAAGAGCACAGACAAGAAGTGACTAAAGAAGAGCTTATGGAGTTGCATTGTGTTTCACGGCAAGAAGTTTTGGAGGAAAGTTTGTCAGAGGAGGAGGAGGTAACAGAAAAGCAACAATCTTCTGGCGAAATAAGAGAAATGCTGAAAACATAGGAAACTGTTGCATCTTACACTGAGAAGCATAACCCTAATAATGAAAAGGCTGCAAATTTATTTAATGATAACACTGTTTCGCATTTCCGCTAAATTTTGAAGCGTCGGCAAAAACAAATGTCTCTGAAATTTTTCTAGTAAAAAATAAATAGCTGTTTATCATAACTATTTCGACTTTTTTTTTTTTTTTCGTTTTCTGCAAATCGAATTCGCATTTCAGGTTGGTTCGTTCCGCGGTGGAAGAAAAGATGAAGAGGATTCCTCTCAATATGCAAATAATTTTCTTTGAATAAACGTTATAAATAACATTGTGTTAGTATTTTTTTTTTCGACATGGAACGCATTATCGTATTTTACATTAATCAATATGAGAAAAATTGTTTCGTATAATGAGTGTTTCCTTTTACGAGTATGTTTCTTATGTCACGGAGTGAACAGCCAACCCTACACTGTGGACTAGTCGTGACGTTAACATCCCTAGCGGGCAGGTCACATTTCAAATTAAACGCGTCGGGGAGGGGGGGGGGGTATATAGTCCCTCATGTTGATACATACCTCTATCTGGTGAAATATACATTTCTAGACCCTCTAGTTGTTTTGGGAAGTCTACATTTTCAAACTTACAACTGTGGGATAAATAATTTCTGGAATACATTCCGAAATTCCTGAAAGCCCTTCTACTCATGGGCACGAATACAGGACTTCTTTTCTAGAGACGCCAAGCGGAATCTGGGGCGGGCATTCTTGGCCAGACCTCTGAGGTGTCGAGACACATTTTATTCTCTGATTAAACTTTGGCGCATTCAAAATACCAGTTCAATCTTTGAAGGATTCCTAAGCTTGGGATGATGTCTCCTTGGAGGCCAGGCGGTGAATCAGCAGTCCACAAAACCACCTACAAGGAAGTCACCTATGTCTAAGCCAGTGGTGGGCATCAGAGTGTAAACCAAACTTTTGTCATCATTTAATGAAATCCTCCAGTTGGTCTACAGACAACATTATGGGTGTTTACCTTCACTATCATTTATCCGGCAGCTTGTTTGTGCCTCAGGTGTTTGACTGGGTACCTGAGATCCTCTCCAGGAGCTTGGGTGTATCTCCAGTGTTCGAGTGTCTAGTGTGGGACTGTCTTCAACGTAACAACAGAGTGATTGAACATCCAGCAAGTTCAAGAAACCAGGCATTAAGATAAGTGTGGTCAATCAGTGGTTTATCGCCAGGCTTCACTGTTAATCGTCCACATTATCATAATAATGATCTAGGCAGACTTTGGAACATTCATGCACGTTCAGTCGGATCGAGTTTGAAGTTTTGGTCCTTCATATCACTCTGGGTTCTTGAAGTTCTTTGCTGATTCTTATATAATGTATGTGTTGCACTTATTTCTAAGGTTTCACTATTGACTGGAGTGTCACTAATTCATTGTTCTTAGCTGTCTAAAGTACATGTATGTTCAAATTAATAATCTTTATCTGTGTTAACATGGCTATGTTAGTATACTATCATAGCCTGGGGGCTATCTTTTTATAGTAGTGGGGGTGTCCAGCCAAGTGTGCCTAGGAATATTAGATAGAGCTTGAGTTGCCCTACTCCTGAAATAAGTTGAGCGTATATTGGCCACGGGATCTCCCTTAGACCAATACGAGCCGACGCCTCAACATTATTATTTCAGAGTGCTGTTGGTTCTTAAGGAGAAATCCTTAAATCAGGTACGGTATGTGACATCTTAAACGAATTATGCTCGTTAAGCGAGGTTCCACAGTATTTACAACTCATCATCATGTAGTAGGTCCTTTGCAGAACGTCGCTCTCATCACAGTCTGCAAAAAAGAAACTCGGTCTCTCTCCAGTCCTCCCGCCTCATGCACTTTCATACTCAAGGAGTCACTTATATCCTGCGCCCATCTTCGTGTCGGTCGGCCCCTGTCCCTCCTTCCTGGTACCATGCCTTCTGCTATATTTTTTTTTCCAATTTGTCGTGGCGCTTAATATGACCAAAATATTTCAGCTTTCGAGACAGGATGCTGTTTATTAGCCAATCCTCCTTGGTGTTAAAATCTTTCAAGATGTCAGCTATTACTCCTCTTCTTTGTCCAAGATATTCTGAGAATCTTTCTATAGCATCTCAGCTCAAAAGCCCCTATTCTCTTTTTTTAAGGATTGAGAGATAGTCCACGACTCACATCCGTATGCAGCCACAGGAAAGATGCATGCTCTAAAAATTCTAATTTTGACCTCCTTGCTGGTGCTAAACCATCTAATTTTAAGGCTGTTCAATTTCATTTT